CACTAATGGAGATACTCATCTGGGTGGAGAAGACTTTGACCAGCGTGTTATGGAACACTTCATCAAGCTCTACAAGAAGAAGACTGGCAAAGATGTTAGGAAAGACAACAGAGCTGTGCAGAAACTCCGGCGTGAGGTAGAAAAGGCCAAACGGGCACTGTCGTCTCAACATCAAGCTAGAATTGAAATTGAGTCCTTCTATGAAGGAGAAGACTTTTCTGAGACCCTGACTCGGGCCAAATTTGAAGAGCTAAACATGGTATGTACTTTGTATTTTTGCTTTACTGGTGAGATCTACTTAGATTCTTGGGTTTAAGACAACGGATCTCTATCTAGATAATGTCTAGGTATAACAGACTGAGTAACCACATGTTTTATTCTAGGACCTGTTCCGCTCTACTATGAAGCCTGTCCAGAAAGTGTTGGAGGATTCTGACTTGAAGAAGTCTGACATTGATGAAATTGTTCTTGTTGGTGGCTCTACTCGAATTCCAAAAATTCAACAATTGGTTAAAGAGTTCTTCAATGGCAAGGAGCCATCTCGTGGCATAAACCCAGATGAAGCTGTAGCGTATGGTGCTGCTGTGCAGGCTGGTGTACTTTCTGGTGATCAAGATACAGGTAATCATTATCAAAAGGTCTTCCCCAGTACTTCATTAACATGATGGAAAGATCATTAGTAGCTGTTCCCTTGGAAAACACTATAATGAGCAACAAGGTTTACTGAAGGGTACAACGAAGATAGAATCTGGGTCAGTCTTGTGATTCTTAGTGACTCTGTTAAAGTCATTGTCTCTAAAATGTTTGTTCTTAGAACTTACCAGAATGGCAAGATAGAGAAGATCCAACATAATTCATTGACTGAGTGCTTTATAACTTTTGAATTAGAACTCAGGTAGATTTATGTATTACCTTTGCAGGTGATCTAGTACTGCTTGACGTGTGCCCCCTTACACTTGGTATTGAAACTGTGGGAGGTGTAATGACCAAACTGATTCCAAGGAACACTGTGGTGCCCACCAAGAAGTCTCAGATCTTTTCTACAGCTTCTGATAACCAACCAACTGTAACAATTAAGGTCTACGAAGGTAATTACTTAACATTTGTTAACATCCTGCTTTGTTTTCAAAGAACTTGACTTCTTAAATGTACTGTATCGAAAGTGCTAGGTAAATAACTAGCTGCTATTTTCAGATGGGGGGGGTCTTTTATTTGACTATCAAGTTTCAAAGAGTCAGCACTTAGTACATGCCGCTATTTGGTAGGGTGAGACACTATGTAAGTTCACTCTAAAACCAAGGGGCAGGGTTTCAGTAATTTGAGAGGCTGAGGCCACATAAGAAGGCCACTCTAAAATCCAGGTACAGGTCCCAGTTAACTTGGGAGGAAGAGGAGGAGGCAGAAGGATTGCGACATAGATGTTGCCTGAAACAGATTACACACTGCAAGCTCTAGCATACAAAATCAAGATGGGGCTTCACAATGGTTTAAAAGTAGATGGAGTTCAGTTGAGAGTTGTAACTTAATTCACTGTTGGTCCCAGTTGCTACTCTGTGAATATAATACTGATTCTCATTTTTAATTTGAGTACCTTTGTCACTGTACACTCTAGCAGACTGAAGTAGAGATCCAGATGTACTAACACATGTTGGTAACAAGTTTTTTGTGTGTTACTTCCAGGTGAACGGCCCCTGACAAAAGATAATCACCTTCTGGGAACATTCGATCTGACTGGAATTCCTCCTGCTCCCCGCGGAGTCCCTCAGATTGAAGTCACATTTGAGATAGATGTAAATGGCATTCTTCGAGTGACAGCCGAAGACAAGGGTACAGGGAACAAAAATAAGATCACAATTACCAATGACCAAAATCGCCTGACACCAGAAGAAATTGAAAGGATGGTTAATGATGCTGAGAAGTTTGCCGAGGAAGACAAAAAGCTCAAGGAGCGTATTGATACCAGAAATGAGTTGGAAAGCTATGCCTATTCTCTGAAGAATCAGATTGGAGATAAAGAAAAGCTGGGAGGTAAACTTTCCTCTGAAGATAAGGAGACCATGGAAAAAGCTGTAGAGGAAAAGATTGAATGGCTGGAAAGCCACCAAGATGCTGACATTGAAGACTTCAAAGCTAAAAAGAAGGAACTAGAAGAAATTGTTCAGCCAATCATCAGCAAACTCTATGGAAGTGCAGGCCCTCCCCCAACTGGTGAAGATGATACAGCAGAAAAGGATGAGTTGTAGGCACCAATCTGCTAGTGTTGTAATATTGTAAATACTGGACTCAGGAACTTTCGTTAGGAGAAAATTGAGAGAACTTAAGTCTCGAATGTAATTGGAATCTTCACCTCAGAGTGGAGTTGAAAATGCTATAGCCCAAGTGGCTGTTTACTGCTTTTCATTAGCAGTTGCTCACATGTCTTGGGGTGGGGGGAGAGGAGGAATTGGCTATCTTAAAAACTAGGTAACAAAACTGGGTTTGGGTGTGTGTCCACCTTGAAAATGTTCTATTTAACAATTGGGTCATGTACATCTGGTGTAGGAACTTTTTTCTACCATAAGTGACACCAATAAATGTTTGTTATTTACACTGGTCTAATTTTTGTGTAAAGCTTCTGATTAGATTAATCATTTATTTATTTTTTTTTTAGGAAGGGAACTAAAAATTAAAACTCTCATGTGTTTGAGGGGTGGGTTGGGGATATTGGGGTGAAGGAAATTTCTCTTCAATATTTCTAGGTACTTTGCCTAGCCTTTATCTGAGAAAAGAGGGAGGTTCATCCATATTGCTACCTAGGCAAGGGCCATTTCAGTGCCCAAGAGTAATATTCCTGAACATAATTGAAATGTCCTACTTAACTTTCTAAAATTGCCTTTTAGTGACCTAATCACTGGTACTAACTTTACACCCTTGGGTTTCATGTATAGTTTTAGGATGTAAAGGTGTATTTTGAACTCTGTCAGAAACTCCATCCCTGAGATTTCCCATTAGTGGTAGTGATGGGGGATCTAGGGTGGTGACCTTGAAACTACTCTGAACATGCTCCCCTCTCCCTGCCACCCCCAACTATGTGGGTCAAAGGCAACAGCTTAGTGTTAAGATGTGTGTAAGATAACTTAGGTTGAGAGGCCAGCTGGCAGTGTGGTAGTTAAAGGCACTGGACTCCCACATGGTTGACTGGTTCAAGTCCTGAATCTGGTGGCTTGCTTTGTCACTTAACCTCTTTCTCTGATCAAACTGTAAAAATAATAATGATAAATACATAGTTATTTTTTTTAAAATAACTTAGGTTGGTTTCCTGAGGTAGGGATGGTTTAGGTGACAGAAGGGCAGGCTGTCTAGTATGAACATGAAATCCATTACTGCCCCAAAATAGGTATTTTATAGAAAGGCAACTAACTGAAAGGTTATTTCACTGGTGAATGGTAAAACTGGAACTTGACACCAGACTTAATCTCAGGCCCAGGCCTGTAGTGCCCTAAAGGTCTACCTAAGGGGTAGAGTCTTCAGATCAATGGCCCAGTGGTGCAAAGCTCTGCAATGCTGGAGGTCATGTGTAAGGTAAGAGTTGGGTTCCTGGTGGAATTGTACATTATAAATTGCATTTAAGGCTGGTTGTGACATGAGACCATGTTGAAAGTCTTGAGGCCAAACCCAGTGAAAACCACTGCTACTGTATGCCCTGAGGCAGAAAGAAAGGAAGGGAAGCAAGGGAGGGACAAGGACCAATCAATCATCTGCCCCCAGAGGTTCTCATACCTCGTACCAACAGTTTGTACCTTCTGAGGAGTACAGGATATTAATTGGGCTAGCAGGTGACAGGGAGATTAAGGCAACTAGGTAGATGCCATAGATGACTACATGGTCAAGTCCTGGACCCAGCAGTTTAAAAGACAAGCTATGTCCTTGTGCGTGCTCAAAATCCTGAAAGGAGAATGGAGTCCCACAAAAGGAACTGTGGCATGACCATGCTCTTAGTGACTTCTTTTACCTGCTTGGTACATGCACAAAGTGAAGAAAAGGTAGGCTTCACTTCCTGTTTACCATCTGACATCTAATAGTTTGATTTTTTTTCTTTTTTAAAGATTAAAGGTTAATCATACTTTATTCTTTTTTTTTTTTTTTTGGAGGGGGTTTTGCTATAGGGCGCATGCGCTAGACAGAAAGAGACAGACAGAAAGTGTGAAATCAACCCCCCGGGGGGGGATGGCCATGCCTCAATTCCTTCTCTATTCTCCTCTTGGGATCTTGGGCACGTATGCACATGCGCCCGGCGTGAGTTTAAGCCGCCAGGTCCAGGACTTGAACCGCGGTCGACTACATGGGAGTCCAGTGACATAGACATTACAGTAACTGCTGGTCCCAATCATACTTTGTTCTTTAAAGAATTATTTAATTTTATTTAATTTGACCAGGGAGGGATAGAAAGATGGAAAGTGAGAAAGTAAGCCACCAGGTCCAGGACTTGAACCGTGGTCAGTCATGTGGGAGCCCAGTGCCCCCAACCACCATGCTGCCGGCCAGCCCCAATATCTAATAGTTTTTGTTTTGTAGCAATTTTGAGTCACCCTTTTTGTGGCTAGTATTCAGAATAATTGCAATTTGTATTGTAGGTTTAAAAACAAAAAAAAAAACAAACAAAAAAAAAACTTTAAATAATGGAGGATTTTTGCACCAGGCTATCCATTTCTTCACCTACCAAAATAAGAGCAAGATGGACACAGTGCAGAAAAAATTTTGAGTGCATAAAACAGCTGAGGTTTTGAGACCAGGTGGTGTGAAGATCAGGGTGGCTAGACTCTGCATAGCCAACCATGTGGTTAAAGTCCTGGACCTGGATCACACCGGGAATGTGCTGTGTGCATGCTTAGAATCCCAAGGAAAACAGGAGTGGAGATCGTGGTATGGCCTTCCCCCACAGGGTTGATTTCTCACTGTCTTTCTCTCTCTAGCAAGCACACATGCCCAATGGCAAACAAAAAACCCTTTCTGAAAGTAAGGACAGCAATAAAAATGTGGGTTTTATTAGTCAACTACAGTCACAATGCAGTCGTCATAGATTTCCCCTTCTGTATTCATCCCACCAAACACAAAACAGAGCAATATGTCAGTCTGATGTTCCACACGTGAGTCACCATCTTGGGTCACTCCTTTGTCAGCGGAATCCCCTTCCTCAGCTTCACAGTTCAGCGTGATAGAATTTGAATCTTCTTTCTCAGAAACAGACATCACTGGCCATGGAATGATACACATGGCATGGTCCAATCGTCCAGGAGGTAGAAAAGTATCAAATTTAAGCAAGGTCCAGTGCTGCTTTTCTATGTTAGGGGAGAAAACATAAAGAGGCTTTGGTTAAGAAATGTCCAGGTGCCAGCCAGTGGCATTATGGTTAGAGCAGCTAGATCGCACATGGCTGGCTGCACAGTCTGAGTCTAGCCCCTGTAGCCTGAAAAACAGTGCATGTTTGTGTGTGAGCCCAAGACCTCAAGAGGAGAACAGAGAAGTTGCAGAGTGGCTACCCCCATCAAGGGAATATTTCACACTCACTCTCTTTGGCAAGAGTTCGTGTGCTATAGCAAACTAAAAAAATAGTAAGTTTAAGAAGGAAATGCCCAAACTTGTTCAGTGCCTTACTGTATCAGCTGAGCCCGAAGAAGAAATAAAATAAAACCTCGTGGTGGTGTTACTCCTTTAGTGACATAATTTCTTACAAGTTTAGTTTTCATTCCCCTGGTTTTAGACATCACAGAGGAACCATGGCATTGTGTCACCTCTATCTATCTATCTATCTATCTATCTATCTTTCTATCTATCTGTCTGTCTGTCTGTCTGTCTGTCTGTCTATCTCCCACAGAGGGTGTGTACACTTCACCATACCCTCTATGGTGCGTGGTCACACTACAATCTCTTCTCTCTTTCTCCCTCTTGTCAGGAATTTGGGCACATTTACTAGGCATATTTCTCGAGCCACCAAGTCTGGGACTCAAACTGCATTGCTGGCCATGTGAAATTTGGCTGCTTTAACCACCTGGCCACAGAGCCTGCATTGTGTCATTTTTCATAAAATATTTACAATTGTTTGAAGATCCCAAGCATGCCTGCTCACCTATGTGATATTGGTACATTGTGTCCAGTGCTCCAGTGGGAGTCATGCCACCAAAGACATACAGGTGGTTCCCTACAGTCACAGCTGAGTGGGCGGCACAGCCTACTGGAGCAGCCCCGGTGGGACTTAGCTTCTGCCACGTCATGTCACCTGACAAGAGAAGGAGAATGTGTAGGCACAACATGGGCTAAAATATGGTCTCAAACATATATTTGCTACAGTTTTGCAAATCCATGCCCCAAGATCATTCAATAGGAGTTCTGAGAGGAATTCTTTGGGGAAGCTTGAAATTCTGATTGGGTATTCCAAGAGGGAGGGAAGGGCTCAGTGACTCAAAGCTTTGTTTTTGTTTTTGTTCTACAGGGCATGAGAGAGACAGGGAAAGTGAGAGATCACCCCCCCAGGGAGGATGTCCATGTCACAATTCCTTCTCCATTTTCCTCTCAGGATTTTGGGTACATATGAATACACATCTGGTGTGTTTTTTTAAGCTGCTGAGTCTGGGACTTGAACTGCATAGTTGACCATGTGGGATCCAGCCAATCCAATAATCACGCCACCGGCTGGCCCTGATCTAGAGTTTCAAGAAGCATCCCAGGTGATTCTAATGGTAGATGGTCTTTGGAACATGGGACATGTGATACAACTGTTCCACACCAGGGCTGCATGCCCAAAATTCCAACACAACCAAGAAATGGAGAAGAGATTGTGACTGTGCTCCACACTGAGGGGCGTTTGTTGCCTTTCTCTGTCTCTGTCTCTCTCTGGAAAGCACATGCACCCTCTCACAATAAGTAAATTCTAACAATTCCTTAGAAAGCCACTTTGTGAGTATTCACTAAATACCTTAAATATCTTGCTCACTTAATGTTTCTAACAGCCCTATGAAATCGCTACGACTTCTGCCTATCTCTTTTCTTCTTACATATGAGCAAACAGGATTAGTTTTTTTGTTTGTTTGTTTGGTTTTTTTTGAGAGGATTTTTGCTATAGGGCGTGTGCGCTCGCCAGACAGAGAGAGAGAGACAGAAATCACCCCCCAGGGGGGATGGCCACGCCGCAATCCCTTCTCTTCCATTCTCCTCTCGGGATCGCGGGCACGCATGCACATGCGCCCGGCATGAGTTTAAGCCACCGGGTCCGGGACTCGAACCATGGTCAACTATGTGGGAGTCCAGCGACATAGTCATTACGCTAACTGCTGGTCCCAGCAAACAGGATTAGTGAGGAAAAGAGGCTTGTCCAAGATCCTACAGCTTATAAATGGTTGAGCCAGAACCATACCCAGGTCTTGCTCCAAAAGGCTGAGTTCTCTATAATCGAACATGCTATGCTGCCTTGGCATCCTAGCCCAATTCGGAGAGGATATTTGCATAATTTCAAACAAGCACACACACATGCATTTATGTGTGTATTTACTGACTGATTTAGTTTTGCTATAGGAGGTGTACACTTGCTGGAGAAATTACCCCCTAGGGGGATGGTTATGCCACAATCCCTCCCCCTTCACTCTCCTCTTGGCATTTAGAGAATCCACACACTCTTGCCTGGAGTGATTTTCAAGCCACTGGGCCTGGACTTGAATTGTGCAGTTGGCCATGTGGGACACAGATGCCTTAACCTCCATGCCACCTGTTGGCCTCTCAAACAAGCATTTACATAAGGTAAGAGAGGTCTAGGGAACTATTTGGTAGGCAGAAAGAATAGCTAGGAAGTAGTTCCTCAGTAAAAGAGAAACTATCTTCCTTTTTAAAAAAAATAATGATTTATTCTTTTTCTTTCTTTCTTTCTTTTTGGAGAGGTTTTTTCTATAGGGCATGTGCATTCACCAGAAAGACAGAGACAGAGAGAAATCACCCCCCGGGGGGATGGCCACACTGCAATCCCTTCTCCTCCATTCTCCAACAGGGATTTTGGGCATGTTTGCACACACATCCAGTGTGAATTTAAGCCACCAGGTCCGGGACTTGAACCGTGGTCGACTACCTGGGAGTCCAGTGGCATAGCCATTACGCCAACTACTGGTCCCAAGAATTATATAGTATATTTTAATTATTATTATTTTCAAAATTTGACCAGAGAGGGGCCAGCAGTTGGTGTAATGGCTATATTGCTGGACTCCCAGGTAGTCAACCACGGTTCAGTGGCTTAAACTCACACTGGGCGCATGTGCATGTGTGCCCAAGATCTCAAGAGGAGAATGGAGGAGAAGGGATTGCGGCGTGGCCATCCCCCCTGGGGGGTGATTTCT